ACAACCAATGACGAACCGTAGAAAGGGTGTCATGTTCACCCCATTCGCGATCCTAAGATACGCTCACCCATCGACGGGGCATGCCATCACAACCATTACATGTCATTCGTTTACGATTTCTTCTTAATGTGATTACATACATATTTCGCTGGAGTATCCCTTTTCAACCATTCGCAGTGGTACTTCAGTCACAACATGAAGTTCGTGCATGCATTTACGAATGTCTCCAGACTTTGAGGACAAGCGAAAGCTCCTTAAGCATCTTATTTCTGTCGAACGGGAATAACATATGACCTTAATCAGTACGGAGTGCTAGGACACTGAACAAAACGCCATCAATTGCGTTTGTTCAATTTGCACCAGGTCTTTTCTGTGGCTATAATGATTGGCTATCAAACAGCCATGCTTACTGAAATCCGCAAATTGTTGTACGCGTGTTACTGACACAAGAAATTGTCAGTTTTACCCGAGTTCGTTGCAAAAAAGCACAAATATTACTCAATGATTACGCCGCTTTCGGGGAGGGGGATCCATGAATCTCCACGAAGTGACTTACGACGAGTGGGCGAAGCTAGGTCCTAAGGTCTATAATAAAGAATCTAACTTTACTGTAAGCCAGGCTGTAAGTCTTCAATGTGCTGTGTGCTCTGTACGCTACGTTTAAGGCTGCCCCTACAGCATTATTTTACCATGCGCAATACCCAAAACGTGTACTGCGCATGTGTTTCAACAGGCTTGCCTTTTAGTGTTGCTTCGCGCCATGTCGTTAAAAAGGAAGAAGCTGCAAAACCCTATATAAGTCAGCACAACACTGGAGTCGTGGCAAATGAGACAAATCAATGTTTTCTGAAGATCAGTAGCGGTTTGGTGTGTTGAGGCCAGGTAAACTAACAGCGCACGAGACATAAATGGCGAAGACGATCGCTTACTGCCAATTTACTTATATTAGATGCTTCAGAACTTTTCAAGACCACGACAGAAAAAAACAAAAGAGAACCGAGCTGGTATAGCTAAACGCTAAATACAAAAATCGCCTCAGTGACGGTGCGACGTCTTCACGCGCCAGCGTTCACGTGCCGTGAAAGCTGCTTTCATAATGTTGAGAGCACCGTGTGTAGTAAAGATTATCCGAGCTTCTTGGTGCACAAACGTGCATCCACATGCACACTAAGTGCACGACTAAAATTGACCTTTACTTTCTAACAGTTGGAAAGCTTTTGCAGGCAATCATTCTGACATCTTCCGATTAGGCAAATTCAGCAACCACCACAGTTCAAAGGGATCACACACGCGACGCCCCGTACACAGCCCACAAATCTGGCGGGGTGCTTCGCGTCACCAACTGATTCAGTTGCTGCTTCGTTAATAACGCTGTCTGGTCGTCCAGCGTTGTGCTCCGGCATAGCGGTTATCACAATCCACTGAACCTGTTGATCTACTGGCTTCAGCTTACTTATTTGCGTTCCAAATCCACCGAAATGCACACTGACATTGTTGGCAATCGTAATGTTGTCAGTAGCAGCCATCTCGAAATGGCTGCTACTGCTACTGATCTTGAACTGCCGAAATGAAACAGACGATCGTCTGTTTCATTTCGTCAGTTCGAGATCTCACGAGAGCCGCCAGTAAGGTACGCAATGGCCGTAGCAGGCGCAATGTGGGTGCACGTAACCGTCACAATCTAGCGTGCGCCAACGCACGCATCTCTCCTATATTCAGCACATGCGCACTCTTGCTCCCTCTTTCGCTTTGCGTGCGCTAAGCCGTTGCACGCGCTAAACTAAAATTATCTAATGTTTACTTTGAAGTCGCCGACTGAAGTATAAGCGGAACTGTGATTTACCTTAGATGAAACATATTGATATTGAAGTTTTTGAGCAGGCACAGTGTGACAAAGATAAAAAACGCGAGCAAGTGCCATATAATGACTTCTTTTTTCTATAGAACGTATGTTCACTCAGCCAAACCCTCATGTCTGCGAAATATGGCAAAAAGAAAACGTGGCGTGTTTCTCTTTGTAGGCATTGATATAACATGAGCGTTGGCATAACAGTGCTTCCTAATGAAAGCAACAGAGCATCAATCAAGAAAGGTGTAAGGCAGGGGGTTCAAATCACCCAAATGCTATTTACCGCGTGCTTACAGGAAATTTTCAGGGGCCTAGATTGTGAAAAGTAACTCAGAGGACAAATAATTATAGAGTTAGGCAAGAAAAGCAGAAAGGTAGCTCTTAAAAATAATCTGCAGAAAACGAAAATAATGTACAAGTACCTCGGAAGAAAATTGCGCTTCGAGATAGGTAATTGTGCACCGGAAGTTCTAACACAAAATGTCTACTTTGGACAGGTAATAACCGCCGAGCCGAACCATAAAGTTGAAGTAACTAGAAGAATAAAAATGGGGCGAAGCACATCTGATAAGCACTCTTAAATCACGACAGGCAGATTGCCACTATCTCTCAAGAGGTTGGAATATATTAAGACGATCGAGATCAGGGACTGCTTTGAACGAATACGGTTTATTAGAAGAACTGAAGTAGCACGCTTGTTTCAGCCTTGTGGCGTTTGATGATGATATTTTATAGTACATTACAGCTGAATCTTGCCGGTACTCAGCTACGGAAGGGAGACCTGGAGACTTACAAAGAGAATTCCGCTTAAAATGAGGACGACGCAGCAAGCAATCGAAAGAAAAATGGTATGCGTAATTGTAAGAGACGAGAAGAAAGCGGGGTGGATCAGGGAACAAACCGGGGTTTAAGATATCATTGTTGAATGCAAGAACTGGAAATGGACATGGGCCGGGCTATTGCGCGTCGACAAGATAACCGCTGGTTATGAAGGCAAGCGTATTAGAGGGAGACAGTAAGTTAGGTGGACACATGAGATTAAGAAGTTTGTGGGTATAAAATGGCAGCAGCAAGCACATGAGCGAGTTCACTGGCAGAACATGGTTGAAGCCTTTGTCCTGCAGTTGACGTAGTCAGGCTGATGATAATGATGATGATGACGATGATAACACGAAAGTGAAATGTGTTTTCACACAGGTAGTTGAGCGCTAATTCTGCATAGTTTAGCCACAAGAGTGAAAGAATTATTGCTGGAGCAACAAACTGCGAAATCACGCGAAGGCAATCAAGCAGCTCAAAACATACGGAACGCACCTCAAGCAGAAAGCACGCACAAAATGGGCATACACAGGACGAGCGTGGAATAACTACTGACTCAGCTCGACCCTTAATGCGGGCTGTTCAACCAGAAAGGCACACGAAACGAACGCACAAGATACACAGGACGAACGGGAACAACTGCCAGAATTCTTGCACATTCCTGTATGAGCAGCGTTCTCTTTTCGTAAACGCCACTGCGGAAGCAAGAGAACTGACCTTTGTGCCCTTTGGAATAATGCGTCTGGTAAGCGTGCGCGTAGGAGAGACCATGCGCCTCGGAGACGGCGCTCAACGAAACGCGAAAAGCGATGACTTTAGCTCCCGCGACGCAAACATGTCGCGCCATCTCGCTACTGATGACTGAAATACACTGAAGAGACTGAGCTCTGAAGACTGCCAAATGATATAGGGTGTATATGAATGGCTTGCCGTTAGCAGCCATGACAACGTACGCCTTTAGTTCAACCTTACTGGTGATAATTTCATAGATTAATGAAAAAAAAGTACGCTTTGTGGTCCAGTGTTTAGCGCGCGCGCTAAATCTTGAGGTCAACGCATGTTATTCGGCAGGTGCCATGGCGAAAACAAGCTCATTTGGCAATTTGTAGGCGCCTTTGAGAGGCCTGAAAATAAGTAGGAAGAGGCCGAGATAGTGGAGCCATCACCACTAAAAACACACAGGAACTTTCAAACAACTCTAAAAATAGAAAACTGTGTCGATCTAGCGGAAAACCTATCATGACTTTCCAGAGGCGTTGATCAAGCAAATGGCAAACGCTAGATAATTTGCAGTCATCTGTGAGGCATTGTGAGACTCTTTATGACCTCCAAAATGGCGAACGCGCGGCATGTATTTCGAAGGCTTTGCGACTCTGCCTTTAGATAAAAAAAATTGTATGTTACGTTTGTGCGCGCGCGCTGGTACAATCTACTGTGTGCGTGTGTGTGTATGTAACAAAACGTCATTAGGTATGCCCTTTGCAATTGAAGGGCGCACTAAGGGCCAGATTGACCATTGCTTTTAACTCTGAAAGGTGAAGCTAAGGGTCTCCAAACTCTCTTTGTTTCGCAATACCATATTATAGCAATAATAAAATATTTGTTGCGGGGTTGTGGACCAGAGTGGCGCTCTTAAAACGCACGCACAGAGAGATGCACTATAATCAATTTATACATCGTGTACATTTATTCAACAGCCTTTACAAACAACAATACCGCCAGCCGATCAAAAACCTCATTGGTGACGCGCTAGAAACAACCTTTACAATATTCCCAATAAGACACTCAAATAGAATAACTAACAGAAGGTTACGCGAAGATGCCATCCCCAATGATCTAATCACCACAAGGCACCTACGGGACACGGCCCACAGTTTTCGCATCCCGCGAATACCCGTGAAAAGACGACCAATTGTGCCAGCCAATTCACGCCAGAGAGAGGCCCGAATCTTCTCTGTGCGGCCACCTAGCCTCGCCGCTGGGTGGCACTACCAGCGCTATTGATGATTATGATTCAACGCAAGCACAACGCAACATCTCGCTTTGCGGCTGAATCTATATGCCACCTCTCCGAGAGGCACGTTAGGCAACGACGAGGCGGAAAATACTTAACTGGTGTTGATTGCACCCGAGTACTGTGCGGCTCCTTGAACTTTAGAGAAATAATCACATCACTGTTTATCAGATATTCTGTATATCCTTGCTCTGTCTTCATCAGTTCGATAAATGTGTAAGATTGTGCTGGGTGTTTGAGCAACGACTATCTGCCCGACACTATAAGCCAGCATTATGGTCTCCTTAGTGAAGGAAACACCAAGAAAATTTGAACGCATTTGCTTGAACGACTGCAACTTCTTTATTTATTACAAACTTATTTTATGAGCACACTGTTCCACTATTGCTGTTCGGTTTACTTTTGCCGTTTCTGTCTTCGGCAAGGAGTCGAACAGAAAGACGCCTCCGTAAAGGTGCTTGTGAATAGCCAGTTTTCCTGCGAGGAGATATTGCAGAATTGCTCAGCCATAGCAACTATAACTAGGCCTCAGCAAATATAAACTAATAAAACGCTTCAACAATTTCTAGCTACCACGGCTTTCCCTCCAATCGCTCGCTCTTGTAACTGTAATCTTCATTGCTACTGCACGCCTTTCTCTCTGGCCGGGAAACACACAGAGGTTTTATGTTCAATATATTTGGAGGGCACAAGATTCACGAGCTTTTATAATAGAACGAAATCTTCCGAAGCATAACTTCCTGAAACTAACTAGAGGGACTCTGGCGCTACGATTGTTCCACCCCCATGGGAATGACGGGTAATACACTGATTTGCCTAGTCTTCGTGCCTGCGAGCTTCGAACGGACTGGTGGCTATGTTTATTGTTCTGGTTTGTTTTTTGTTCGGAGTAAAAGAGCAAACGGTTGTAAACTCCCTGAACTTCATGACGTGAACTTCAGTGAATTGCAACTGCTGCACATTTCTCGATGGTCGCCCCGTTACAAAGTGGCTCCGGCCACACGAAATCAAATGGAGCCAATAGAACAAAGATTATACGAATTTCTGTACTACTTATCATTCTCTTGCCGGCTTAAGTACCACGCCTTGCAACTAACATAGACACTAGTGTCAGAGTTCCCTCTAGTGTACATTTAAAAAATCATATATTCAACAGTATGCCCCCTAATATAGCAGCTATTGAGGGCGTCCAGACTTAGTGCTTTTCGGAAAGTGAGAACGACACTCTAATGATGGTGAAATAATATTGCAAGAGAAGGTATCCTCGAAAGAACTTGGCTGTAGTTTATTTACAGCCATATACAATTTATATACGCTGCAAATTACTTACAGTGACAGCTCATCTGAGGCAAATCTCCTTTGCATACCTCTCGACCTGCCATTATGGTTGTTTTTTTGCGGTACATTTTTAAGCGGGTGCACCCGTACGTGTCTACAAATGCAGACGAAACTTGTCTTAAGTGCTTCCCTGAGCTAGCAATACACGTAACTCAACTGAGACATCGGCAATACTTAGCCGGAAGTGAACAGCGTTAGAAACGGTAAATAGACACTGGTAAACACCTGGAAATACTTAGTACGCGCAACCCTATCTGCCGCAATGTCGCTGGGGTAAAACAGCTCAAGATAACTAAGATACACACCAGCCCTCTACCAAGCCGATTTCTAGGAATGAGATCATGAGGTAAATCAAGATTTTGCAAGGACCCTCTTGGTAAACAACTATGTAAACGTTCATAATTTTGGTCTCTGCGTTATGGCGGAACAATTTTTTTGAAGAACCTAGATCAGCCTACAGACTAATGTAACGCCAGTGTTAATGCTAGATCAGCGCAATACTCTCAGCCCGCACCTCAATTCTGAAGAATGACACCTGATAAGAATGCACAGGTATACACAGAACACGCCCACATTTAAAGCTGGCGCAGTTATTACTTCTTCCTATTTGATCAGCACATGTTGACTACGCCAGCGTCTCCTCACTGAACATAACGGCGCGTGGAGTGTCCGTCCGCGCCTCCTGCGGGTATGGCGTTATATGCACTTCTTGTCCGGCATCGCACACTGCGAATTGGTACAAAAATGGGCCTCTCTTCCATGCGCCTCTCAAAAATAGCTGAAACAAGATCTAGTAGCACTGCTTTAAAGCGCACCCTTAGCACCATCTGGAGGGTGGTACTGAACACACCGAAGCGTTCAGAGATCTGCGTACCAGCAGCGGTAAATACTCACCGTTACCATTTCAAGTACCCAGTGGCACGTGGCAGAGCTTTCTAAAGCGGTGGGCTGCGGAGTCAGGAGTCACAGATTCAAATCTAAACAGCGCAGGTTGCAAATTTGTTCTACCGATTTATTTTTGTTTGTGGCTTTACTTACCTACCTATCTTAGCCACCTACCTATCTACCAACCTACCCACCTACCTACGTATGTATATACGCACATACATACATACATGCATACATACATACATACATACATACATAAATACATACATACATACATACATACTGTCACAGATACATGCGAAGAAGAGAACGACATTCGAGGTGTTTTGCAGACTCCTGGTAGCAGGACAATAGGGTTAGAAAAGAAAGACGAAGATGGTCTTCGGCATACAGTTGATTTCGAAACAAGGAGCATTATCATCATCATCATCTTCTTCATCATCAAACAGGCTGTTTCACCGTCGCAAGCTGTTTCACCGTCGCAAGCTGTTTCTAATAATTTTTGTTCTCGCTACACCACAACACTGGTGGACGTGCTGGCTTGTGATCCCACCTGATGCTCTACACTCCCATGGAAAGCCGTTCATCCAGCCCGGACGCACTTGTAGAAACTCCCGTGCGTCGCTTCAGTCGTCGCTTGCGAGGCCTCCCTCCAGAGTTCACCCCTACGCGCGAGACCCCCCCCCCCCCCCCAAGGCACCGCTCACCTCTTCCAATGGCCACCGCCAGTCCACAACAGTTACTAAGAGACATTAGTCCACCAACCCCATCTCAGGTAACCCTTTTTTCGCCATTGGTGCCTGATCGCTTTGGCGGTGGCGCACATTATGAAGTCGAAGGCTGGCTTGATCGATATATGAACGTGTCGCCGGCATCAATCTGTGGTCTCTTGAACAAAGGCTCCCCCGTGCCTATTTCTATCTCGACGACAGTGCTCGTACTTGGTATGAGAACAGAGAAAGCAGTTTGTGAATATGTAGTCACTTTAAACGGCTGATGATTGAGAGAGTTGTCAGTGTCGACCGGCGGGACCGTGCACAGCAAATACTCGAGCTAAGGGTTCAGAAACACAATGAAACAGTCAAAATATTCGCTGCGTACATGGCCCGTCTCTTCCATAGAACTGACCCGCACATGACCGCTGAGAAAAAGTCGCGCTACCCCATGCGAGGCATTAAGGAGCTGTTGTTTGCCGGACTTTACGCAACCCACCAAGCACCGTGACAGACTTCATCAAAGAAGCTACGGCTATCGAACGGGCGCTTCACGTACGGTGCCGACAGTACAATCGCTTGTCCAACAGCGCCCACATTCAAGTCACCGCTATGACGTCGGACAATGAAAGCTCAATACGCGATTCATAAGAGAGATTGTTCGCGAAGAGCTGCTGAAGTTGCGGACACCGGTCGCGGACACACCCACGGCGTCTGTCACTTAAGTCGTTTGCGAAGAAATACGCCAAGCGTTTTAACAACTGTTCCTGCTCACGATAAGCGACCCATGAGCTACGCAGCCGCGCTTCGCCGCCCGCCACTGGTTGCGCAATCGCGCCATCAGCAGCCCTTCTTTGGTCACCACCGCGCGAACAGACACCACGACGCCCTGCCATAGTGCCGCCGTACGAAGAGCCGTCTCCCGACATAACGTGGCGTTCACCACAATACGAGCCGTTGCGGCGTCCACAGCTTCGCAAAACAGGCGCCTGGTGCACTGTAGACAGGCGTCCACTTTGTTTTAACTGCGGAGGTGTGGGCCACATTTCCCGTCATTTCTGGCACCACGTCAATACGTTTCATATTTTCGGCCATCGTCTGACAATCGACGCCCTAGCGACGACTACGCACCACGCCTGGAGGACGCCGATTCTCCAGGACCCCCCTGTCTCAGTCCTATTTGACAACCACCGTGCCAACAATGACGACAGTGTGCTTGACTATCAGCCAGGTTTGGGACGTCAACCACGCTCTCCGTCCTATTCACCTTCGTCACACCACCACACTACTGCTGACGTCAGTGGAAGGAGTTCACCCATACTGAAGGCGGTGACCTCCGAGGGGGGGGGTGCAGGCCGTCAAGGCGAAAAAAAGGCCCCTGTTACTCTTAACACAAGACGCCGTAAAGCCGACTAGTCATAACACCGACGAAACTGACGACAGATCTTACCGTTTTTGTAGATGGACAGCAAGTAACAGCCCCTGTTGACACTGGTGCCGACTTTTCTATTATTAGCGATAACTTCGCCGTATGCCTCGAAAGTAAAGACTACGTGGACGGAACCTCACTTGAGAATGGCAGGCGGCGAACTGTTGATGCCTGTCGGAAGGTGCACAGAAAGACTCGACATCGGTGGTTCTTTCTTCGAGACAATGTTCGTCATCCTGACCTCATGCTGCAAGGACCTGATCATAAAAATTGACTTCTTAACAGAATATGGCGCTGTCATCAACATCCCTGACTGTTCAATTAAGTTCCGCAACAGCCCTAGTTTAGTCGACTGTTCATCAGGTGCGATACGTAACACTTTACGTGTAAATGATGATGATGTGGTCATTCCACCACGGTCATGCGCTCTTGTTTTGGTGAAAGGGCACAAATCATTTGACGGTGAAGGTATTGCCGACCGAACTGGCTCGCTACTATTTAGCTATGGCATTTCAATTGCACGAGGTATGGTCCGTCTCGCTGGTGGACGCACAAACTTGCTGTTGAGCAACTTTAATATTTAGCGACGGTGCCTTCCAAAGGACACAGCTATCAGCTCGTTCGACAATATCGTAAAATTGCAGGGCAGTTTATGTTTGTCAGTATTGGACGAAGCGCCTAATCAAGAACCAGAACACGTATTTGACGTTGGCCCCTCTCTGTCAAAGGACGACCGCCAGAGACTTCTTCAGCTGCCAGCCGAATACAGTGACTGCTTTTCTTCGACATCATGAGTCGGTCGAACATCATTGACAAAAGATCGAATAATCACTAAAGACATGGCGAGACCTGTTCACCAGAATCCTTATAGCGTAGCTCTAAAGTAACGCGAAGTCATACAGCAACAAGTCGCGAAAACGCTCGAAGATAACGTTATTCAACTGTCACAGAGCCACTGGGCATCCCCTTTAGTGCTTGTAAAGAAAAAAGACAGCACCCTGCGTTTTTGGGTAAACAACAGAAATATTAATCAGGTGACCAAGAAAGATGTGTACCCACTCCCAAATATGGACCACTCCCTTGACAGGCTTCGGCACGATTGCTACTTTTCTTCCATGGACTGGAGGAGTGAATACTGGCAGATCGAGAAAGACCCAAGACAACAGTAGAAAACTGCTTTTGTGATGTCAAATGGTTTATATGAATTTAACGTCTTGCCTTTCGGTTTGTGTTCCGCTTGCACGACTTTTCAAAGGCTCATGGACACCATACTTTTGGGACATACATACATACATACACTCATACATGCATACATACGAGACATGCCCATGACGACAGAAATTCGTCGAGTCTCGATATAATTTTTGTAGCTGTTTGTCATACTTCTATGCCCATCTACTATGCATGGTGTCGAAAAAAGACGAGCAGTATTCAAAATATATAAAGAAACACTATTGGCATAAAAGCGGAACTGCACCTGCAATGGTAGCCTTAATCTTATCCGCCAAGGGCCCCGCGGCCTTGTGACACGTGTACTGGTCCCGGGGCACTACCGCAGCCGCTGGTGCTTCTCCGTATAAAGGGTGCGGTAGCCCCACCACTGTCACTTCGGCAATGTCTTCGGAGTGCTCCTGAAGCAGCAATTGCTCAAGCTCAGCAGGAACAACTTGGTTGTCCATGCATTTTATCATCTCTTTCAGCCTCTGGACGAAATAGAAACGCCCGTCCTCGTCGTAATAACCAACGTCACCTGAAAAAAATCGAAGGAATGAGCACTATGAGTTTTGAGAGAGACATGTTAAGGACCTCTCGCGCATTTTAGATAACTGAATAATGGCCCATCTTTGTGGCACTGGTTCTCAGTCATAAACATGAATGGCCTAACTTTCCCCAGAGATCACAGGATTGCTCCTCCTCGAAACAGTGTTTTAGGTATTATGACGAACCTTTAACTCTTAATGCGCGTGGCTGCAATATCCGAGAAAAAGTACTAACGGTTCAAGTGAAAAATCCAACCAGCACGACTGTCATTCGCAAGTGATTGACAGAAGCGCTGCGGTTTTGTGGTTGGAGTCAACTGGTTAGAAATGGGCTGCTGAGTTTAAAAACAAACTGATTTATCCTCCTTTGGAGCAAAAAAAAACACAGGCCAGGATCACACATTTGAATGACTGTTCAGCTACACGGCAATGCTTTTTGTGCTTTAGACAGTATTTGTATGTTTACTGTGCATCCGGGATGACTCACTGCTCTCTCATAGTTGAGTATGATGTACTTGAAATCGTCAAACACTTTTCATAAACACACGGCATTCTCTTACTATAGAGAAATCGGCGAACACTCCGACATGTGTGGCACTGTTATGACATAGTATAGTGACGCGAGGACTGAGAGTCAAGGTACCACTTTGCAAAGGAAATATGGATCGACATAACACGCCACTAAACAGCTAAATTAATTTTCGCGCAATAATAAAGTACATTTAGAAAATCCCGTAAACACCACTGTTACCGTGTCATGGCACTTGGTAAGCTAGAAAACAAGGGAGCCTTCATGTGCGCGTGTCTCCGTGTTTTAGGGTGGTGTCAGCCTTTTACCGGGCACTTGTCGCCACCCGCTAAAGCACCATGTTGCCAGTCCCGGTTTCTATGCCTACTATCGCCATGTTGCTTTCTTCAGCCAGACGTTCCTGCTCCGCCGCACTGCACCAGCTGCATATTGGCGCCGGTGTGCAAGGTGCGGTATGAGCTACGTTTGGCTACACCGTAGACGTAGCTTGCGCTACGACACCATTCTTGCGCTAAGCGCACCTACAAGGACTTTGAAGTGTAAATGCCAGGGTGCTGCATGCCGCAATGCAAAACCACTTGAGACTGTCCCGCTTCCCGACTTGCTCTAGCCAACGGAAACGCTGGATTACACAAGTGAAGTGAGACTGCTTGGAGCCAACTACTTCTCCCCGTCTTTGGGAGGTGAACACCCGTTGTATTGCGAGCGGGCTGAGTATATAACCGCACATTTTTTGAAAGCGCTGACTTAGCCATGCGAGAAAGAGCAAAATGAGGAAAGTGAACACGACAACGTGCACAGTATATAAATGAATCAGGCTTCGTTCAGCTACGCTGGGCTATGCAAGTGAAAGCTGGCTGAGTATGCTTGTTTATCCTCGTAGTCGAAGCACGGTCGACCAATAGAATGATATGACTAGTCGAATGTGTGGTCCTGCATGCATTCACTATCTGTGCTTTATCGGTTTCCGAAACCGTCACCGCATTCATTGTGGAAAACGCCAGGCCCGTGAACCACCTACAAACGCTCGCGTTCACGTCTTACTTTGCTGGCAGGTGTTCGCGTTCCTGCAATTTCTCCTAGGTCACTGAGGAAGGCCATTTGTAGAGGTAGGCAGACGAGCCGACGACCGCGTTCTCTGTAGACTCTTGTAGTCTGCTCATTTGCAACACAACTAAATTTTGTGTGATTTGCCATGAGTATTCGGTCTTCCCTTCAATCATACGCGCAACCACACCAAAACTCGCTCAATAATTGCAAGAAGGGTTTCACTTTCACATAGAATGCGACAGATTTATGTTTGCGTCCGTCCGTCGTTCTGTCTGTCTGTCGGTCCTGAATGGTGTAGCATATGTGCACTAAGCAAGTTGGTTGTTGGCCCATAACTCAAATATGCACTATGTGCTGCATCGTAATTTTTGCCGTTCCTTTGTTTCATAACGAGCCACATAGAAGATTTGATATCGTAAACTGAGTTTTTATTTATTGCTTGTAGAGAAAATGAGTATGGACTCCGTATACGTCGTCGGCGCCGCGTGTGAATTTTCGTTTTCTTGCTGTATCGCGGGCCCACTGCGAAGACACGAGCTTTTCGCAGTGGAGGCAGGACGGTTCGAAGAAATTAGGGTCATATGCCGTTTGGATGCTGTTAGCAATAAACTATGACGTGAAAAAACTTGGTTTTCCTGTTGTTGCAGCCCTTTGTTTTTCTTTTAGTCTAATATACAGGCTTTTGTGGGGGGAGGGTTGGTGTAATATGATTGAGTGCTCTACTATTTTCGGGAAATGCTTACAGCTGGTAAGGGTTTAAGCAGTCCATTGTACAGATTCATTTGCAGGAACTAAACTTGCTGCAGGAAATTATATTGCACACAAAATCAATATTTCAGGTATGATAAACAGGCTAGCGAAGTTATGCGGTTTACAGAGAACAACGCGAGCTACCCAGTTGTTTCATCTGCCTTCCCTGTCGCTATGGGTACCATCATATAAAGAGCACGGTTTCGATCTTTGCATCAGGAGGACTTTGAGGTGTCTGCAGTGCTAAGGTGAACTTGCTTCAGGAATGCCGCGCAGACATTGAAGTAGGTTCACAGTGACTGCGAGGTTCTCCCGTACGCAAATATAGGCTCCCTAAATATTCTCACACCGTCAATGCGCTGGGTCTAACAGGTGGGAGAAACGGACTGTTTTAACAGTATTTGAAACAAACTCGAGCCACGAACATGTCTTTCCTATTCTACAAAACAGCGGGTAACATTAGAATATAAATCTTCAGCCTTCAGAACTTGCGATATCGGGAAAAAAAACATAGCCCCGTCTTGTTAAAACCCACGCTGCCTTTAATGTAAATGAGCGACCACTGAGAACCAACATGTCGGCCCGTGAAGTATGGCGGCTGGTTTAGCTAGAGTAAGCAACCATGTTCGAAGTTGTCACCACCCTAAAACACGGAGGCGCGCGCACATGAAGGCTTCTACAGAAAACGCCCCCCCCCCCAAAAAAAAATGTGGGTGGAGTCTCGAATTTCGGTCTCGCACCGAACACCACGACGTCATAGACTTTTAAGGAGTTTATACTGGTTCCTACGCAGCTTCCGATAGCTAGAAATGAAGTACGTAGCAATCTGTGGGTGTCAATCACCTGGAACAAGAAATTTCAGCCAACTTTGTCACGCCAGTGTCACGAAAATGCGAAAAATGCATTCTGAAATTTCTGATGTCACACACGGAGCTTTTCTCCGCTGATAACGAACTTTTCATAGTGACATATATTCATCAATTGCAGTTTATCACTATTAACAGTTCATAAATTTATACCAAGTCATTGCTTATGTTTAGTGTCTCTTTAATGTGCCTGAAACTGCCACTCACCTGATCGACACCAGCCATTTCCTTCAAAGAATTCCGCTGTCTCTTTTGGTCGCTTGTAATAGCCACGCATCACTGTCGGTATACGGAAGCAGATTTCGCCTGGCTCATTTGGACCCAGCTTGACTCTACTCACAGGGTCCAGCTACCTGCGTGTGCCAGGGTTTTCTTCTAAGCTGGGCGCTGTTATTTATGAATATTTCCTGATGAGTGGACATGCCTGGAAGTTGGTTAGCACCGTCACTTTCAGAAATATCCTAAATAGAAACTGATGTTCCACACTGTCGAAAAAAAAAACTGTTTCCTTGGTCAAAAAGTTTATTCTTAATAAAACAATGTATCCGTTACAAACCACACCAAAATCATGCATAGACAAAGGCAGATAACTGCTAACAGGAAGCTTAAAAATGAAACGTTATATTGTCAAGCTGAGTTATCATATAGAAAACATTGGTGTTACTCATAATCGCAAAGACATAACTCCAAAACACTCAAACTAAGTCGACGTGAAAAAAAACATTGGCATTGTTTGTCTACGCCAATAAGTCATTCCATAATATACTGAATTGAACTATACGAAAAATCA